TCGAAGCATCTACCACACACCCTGTTCCACCTCCCCTCCTCCCACGCTGCAAGCTGTCCTCATGAAAGCCTGGTAAGTGCCGTGCAAACTAGGTCATGTATAAACCACAGCAGTTTGACCGGCAGTTTCGACGAGGTTCACCGTGTGCCCCCACAGCAGAGTGGAGCAGAGACGGTGACTTCCGCTAGATTATAATGAGCGTATACTTGCGATGCATCTACTTCACTCTGTGTCTCACTCCCCCGACTGGGCTTGGTGTCAAGACACAGTCAAGAAGACCACAGATAGGAAGGGGGATGCAAACCCATGCACTGTGGACCATCTAAACCAGCGTCTACTACAGTACCACATACCTGAAGCACAAAGTCGATTCGCCTGCCCTGGTTCAGTTGGCTTGAGAAGAGGCTGGGGTCTTCGGGTGACTGCGTTCCTTCATCGCGTTCCGAGGAAGCTGCCGTCAGTGTGGCATCACTTGAATCCTCCCCACCAGTGAGCCGTGACAAAACCCTCTTTATGGCATCCGATTCGTCTTCTTCCACTTCGCCTGAAGGCGATACTTCAGTGTTGGCAGGTGCTGTGCTGGGAAAGATAAGAAGAGGCACGGGGATCAAAATTGTCCCGCGTGTCAGGATTGACCTCTTAACAAATACAAAAAAGCAGGTCATCTAAAGCACCAAACACGCAAACTGCCTAGTAGCTCATAAAACAGGTCCAACTTCAGCAAGGAAAACTTCCAATAAAAACGGACAACCTGCAGGTGGTAGACGTTGTCGCTGACATTGGTCAAATTCTCCTAACATAAATCATCAAGACTTAGGTCTAGCAACCGAGATATTCATTCAGCAGATCGAGGGCAACCTAGTCAACAACCTAAAATCTTAACTGTGAAATGTAATTAATTGAGAAATTGAAAAAAATTTTGAAATACAGCGATAGAGAAACCGAAATTGAATACAGAAATTATGCGGCACTGTATGAGGACTACTGGTTGGACGGCCGTAGCAGACTATTTAACAGGTGTGGTCATCATTTCGGGCGTTGCCACGGGAACAAACATTAGAAATGGTAATAGGTCAGCTAGCCCAAGTTGCCGAAAATTGATTTCGGAGGATTTGCGTTGAAAATGGCGTAAGACATGTTTTTGCTTAGTAGTGATGACTTATACGGCTCCCTCAACAAGACATGGGAACAGGAAGTGCCCGCAATAAAGTTGTCGTTGCGCCAAATTCCAGAGAAAAACGAGTCAAGTTTATGGTAAGGATTAAGTTTGACGTTGCATTTATGGTTGGGATTTATTGGGAATGCCGCTATTCCCATGATGAGTCACGCATACACAAACGCTTCGCGAGCGCCTCGCTGCGGCCAGTCTTGTCTGCTCAATTCTGGTTGGCCCATTGACTCAGCTATGCCTCTCGCGTTCCCCCTTAACTACAGGGTGCCCCACGAAAAACCCCTAAATTTATGATAATGTTTAT